CATCACAGCTCACAGCAACCTCCAACTCCTGGGCTCAAGCGATTCTCCTGCCTCAGCCTCCCAAGTAGCTGGGACTACAGGCGCCCGCCACAACGCTAGGCTATTTTTTGGTTGCAGCCATCATTGTTGTTTGGCGGGTCCAGGCTGGATTCGAATCCGCCAGCTCAGGTGTATGTGGCTGGTGCGCTAGGCTATTTTTTGGTTGCAGCCATCATTGTTGTTTGGCGGGTTTGGGCTGGATTCAAACCCGCCACCTTAGGTGTATGTGGCTGGTGTCTTAGACACTTGAGCCACAGGTGCCGAGCCATTCTCATTCTCTTAAGGATATTACATTATTGTTTTTAAGTACAAATTCAAAAAGTAGAGCCTAGTCCAATAAGGATCTCCAGTCTGCAGTGATAACCCCTGGGAGGGTAGGGTCTGACAGGCCAAGGCCAATTAGCTATGCCTGCCACAGAAGGAAGATTTGGGGCTTCCATGCCATGTATTTTCCATTGGATGGCCTAGTGCAATATGCTCCTCTTATAGATGAGGAAACTGAGGCCCAGAGCAGAGAAACAACTTTCTCTGGTCACAAGGTGAAATAGCACCCAGCTCAGACTAGACCCCACATCCCCTACTTCTAGCCTATGCCATATGAACAGTGAGGTGGATCAGAGTGAGCTTTAGCTGGGAAGTGACCCATTCCATGCCTGCCATCCTGACCGTTAGCAGCTGCTTTCTCAGGGGACCCTGGGCTCCTTATCCTCCTAACAAGGGTCTCAGCACTGCCCCCTCTCTCTGTCCTGGGTTCCTGCCTAAGGCTTTCTTTGCAAAGAGAAACTGTTGGTCTTGCTAAGTCCAAGGGCTGGTGACACTGACACAGGAGTATCCTTGCTGCAGTGGCCCTAGGGAAGGAAATAGCACTCAAGTTCTCAAGTGTATCAGGGTTCCTCTTGGTCTCTTAGTAAGCGTCAGGTTTCCTCTAGGTATTGGAATTGATTAATGTGTATTTTATGAGTTCTATGACAAGATAGGATTTGTTTGTTTGTGCCATTAAGAATAGATGAGGCTGGGGTGGCGCCTGTGGCTCAAAGGAGTGGGGTGCTAGCCCTATATACCAGAGGTGGCAGGTTCAGATCCAGCCCCGGCCAAAAATTGCAAAAGAAAAAGAATAGATGAGGCTGGTGGGTGGGGACTCCATCCGTGCATATCTGGTTCTGAAAGCTGTTTCCATCTCCTCTGTTGGAAGCTACTGGAAGTGCTATCACTGAGTGTCTGTTCTGGTATCACTGAGTGTCTGTTCTGGCACCCTTGCTAAGTTAACCCTGAGTTCCTCCTTTGTGTCATTAATGGGCAGGCACGTTAAATGTTCATGACCAAACTGTAACCTTAGAGACAAGGCCTTGGCATGTGTAACTGGTGTATACTCCATGTGGCTCCAGCAAAACTGGCCTACCTACAGGACAACCTAATCAGCTTGTGCATCAGGGCCAATCCTTGTCCTGGCAGGCCTTGCTGGCAGTGGACCCTTTAGAACAGATGACTGTGGAGGCTTCTGACACTGGAGAGGCAGCCTCCTTGGGCCTCTGTGGAGGACCAGCCTGTACTCTGAGACTTGAGGGCACCAAACCTGGCCCTCCCCACAGTGCCTAGAGGTGGCCATGGCAGGTCTGGGTGGGCCCCAATGCTACTCTCCTGTCCTGCAGGATGTGGCCCAGTGGAACATTGGCAGCCTAAGGACCATCCTGGACATGGTGGAGCGTGAGTGTGGTACCATCATTGAGGGCGTCAACACCCCCTACCTGTACTTCGGCATGTGGAAGACTACCTTCGCTTGGCATACCGAGGACATGGACCTGTATAGCATCAACTACCTGCATTTTGGGGAGCCCAAGTCCTGGTGAGTGACCATGACTTCTCTGGCTGCTGCTAAGGCAGGTGTGAACCCTGGCCATGCTTGGGAGAGCAATTGGTTTGGCGTTGCCTTCTGGGTGAGTCTCCAAGCCTGTGGCTGGGCTCTGCAGCAGGGACTCTCCCAGGCAAGGTGGGCAAAAGCCAGTAGGCTCTGACAGCTTAAGGTCAAGGATCAGCTGCCAGCTCTGGGGATGGGGAGGTATACATGTCTTAAGAGCTGAACCTTCCAGATTCCTGGAGTTTGCACACCTGAGTTCCTTCTTCCTCTTTAGGAGTGGCTGTCAGGTGGGTGCTTCCCCTCACCTCACTCTTGGCTTACATATTTTGGGGTATGGCTCATAGCAAGTCCCTACTTGGAGGGTTTGCTTGCTGGTATAGGTGCTGAAAGCCTCCCCACAGAGACTACAGGTGTCTACTCTTTAAGTGCGATAGGTCCTATGGGCAGTGTTGGGATGTACCACATAGCCCGTTCTCTTGGTTTCTAAGCAGAACAGCTGTGGTGTTCCTGGGCGCTGTCTTCGCATCCAGCTCTCACAGCAGCATGGGTGAGCGCTGCCCTCTGTGTTGTGGCAGCCTCCATTCATCCTCTGTTTCCAGCAGCAGCTTCTGGAAGCTGCTTTGCCTCTGCCTAGCTGTCTTAGAAGGTTCTATTGTCACCCTGCTCATCACAGCTCAGAGGAGGTGGGAGGGAAGGAAGCTCCACAGGCCCCATCCTTCCTTGTAGGGACAGCGGGGGTGCAGAACACAGTGTCTGGGTGCAGCTGCAGTGCAGGCGGACCTAGGCAAACTGTGACGTCCCAGCTGAGAGCTGCCCCACCCCCGCAGCAATGTAAATTCCAGTGAAGGAAGCATGAGGCCATGAGTTAGTGTGAGGTGGTCCACCCACCTCCTCTCATCATGTACAGAGCAGCCTGTGAGCATCTGTTGGAGGGCTATCGCACTGCCTTTTAGATTACTCAGTACCTACCTCCCACAAGTGTCCTAAAGTTGTGGTGGGCCTGAGATTTGAACCTAGGGCTCTCTGCCTTCTCCTGGGTGTTCCCACCTGCCCCAGGCTGGAGGCATGAGCTTTCTCTACCTCCTGGTGTCAGGAAACAGCTCTTGCACGCTCTTGCAGCTATGGCTTTGGAGTTGAGGCCTCACTGTGCTGCCCCCCACCAGGTAGGCTCTGTGGCTTCTCCAGGCCCTGTTTGGCCAGAGTGATGCACGGGTGGGCCCTACCAGCCCTTCATGGCCTTGTAGGTGACCCTTCAGTTCTGAGCTCTCCCAGCTCCACCTCTTTTGGGGCACTGCAGAATCCCTGGCCCCAGACCCACCCATGTGTTGTAGGGACACAAGTTTCTCCTGAACACTGAGGCTATCAGGCCATCTGTGTGGGCTTTTCTTCGAGTGTTGTAGAAAGAGGAGTCTGAAGCAGCCTTCCCTGGGACCAGATGCTCTTCCCACTCTCTTCCTCCTCATTGGTATTCTTTAGGCTCAAAAACCAAAAATGCAGAATGGAGACCAGTTTCCTTTCCCTTCCTCTGGAGTGAACCCTTAGTGAGACCACTTGGGGAATGCTGGGCCTAGCTACAATGCTAGGGTCTCCCTTTCCTGGTGCCTATCCTGGAGGTGGTGTTGGGTAGAACAGGATACAGCTATGCGCCATAGATCAGGCCTGGTGCCCCCAGGGAAGGTGGTGTCCAACTTGTTGGGTGACAAAACCAGGAGTTTTGGGGCCCTCTCTGCAATCTCCATCTTATCCACTGGGACTCCCTGGTCTGTCTCTGCTGAGTGTAACTGGGTGAGCTCCTTGCTAGAGTTTGGACAAATGTCAGAACATCCAGAACTTGCAGGCCATCCTTGAGCACTGGGATTCTGACTTGAAAGTAGAATAGGACCCTTAGGAGCCCTGTTCTTTTTTTTTTTTTTTTTTTTTTGAGACAGAGCCTCAAGCTGTCCCCCTGGGTAGAGTGCCATGGCATCACAGCTCACAGCAACCTCCAACTCCTGGGCTCAAGCAAGTCTCCTGCCTCAGCCTCCCAGATAGCTGGGACCACAGGTGCCCACCACAACACACAGCTAGTTTTTGATTGCAGCCGTCATTGTTTTGGTGGGCCCAGACTGGATTCGAACCCACCACCTTAGGTGTATGTGGCTGGTGCCATAGCCACTTGAGCCACAGGTGCTGAGTGGGGAGCCCTGTTCTTTTTCTGTTTTCTACATGAGCAGGTTAGCACCCTTTTAGATGGTCATCTGAGGCTTAAGGATTGGCCCCTCTCAGATGCTAGGCAGGATGTCACTGATACAAGGAGGTGAGATAAGCTCTCCCCTCTGCCCCCCAGGTGGGAACCTACACTACTCGGTCCTGTGTGCACTATGTGTGACCACCCTCTCCTGACCTCTGACACAGACAAAATGGAATCCCTTACCTGCTATCCGTAGTGGGTCCCACTCAGACAGCAGGGAGGGTGGGAAGATGGTGGGATCAGACACAGGGCTTTGTGTGAGCTTCTTGTGGCTGCTTTACAAGCCACTGCAGACTTTGTGGTTAAAACTGCACACACTTAGAATCTTTTTTCTTTTTTGAGACAGTCTCACTTATCACCCTTGTTAGAATGCTGTGGTGTCATAGCTCACAGCAGCCTCAAACTCCTGGGCTCAAGTGATTCTCTTGCCTCAGCCTCTCAAGTAGCTGGGACTACAGGCACCTGCCACAATGCCTGGCTATTTTTTTCACTCTGGCTCAGGCTGGTCTCGAACCTGTGAGCTCAGGCAATCCACCCACCTCAGCCTGCCAAGTGCTGGGATTACAGGCATGAGCCACTGTGCCTGGCCTACTTATTCTCTTATATTTCAGGAGAAGTCCAAAATCAGTCTTTTGGGCTAATGTCATGGTATGGCAGGGCCAGTCCCTCCTGTTTGTTCTCTACTGTTTTTTTCCAGTGTCTAGAGGCTGCCTGCATCCCTTGACTCAGGCACCTTCCCCTCTTCATAGCCAGCAGTGTAGCATCTTCCAGTCTCTCTGCTTCTGACTTTCCTGGTTCCTTGTATGAGAACCCTATGAGGACACAGAGCCTCCCAGGTTATTCAGGATGACCTCCAATCTTCAAGGTTCTTGACTCAGTCCCACCTGCCCCTTCTGGCATGTGAGGTGTATTCACTGGGTGGGAGACTGGGGTGTGGGTGTCTCTGGTCTTTGACACTGTGTGCTTGCCAGATCCTGTTGCCATACCAGAGCGTCTTATTGTCAGTCCATTTCTTTCTTTTGGTGGTGCTCTGCACCTTTGCCTTAGGCAGTGATCATGGAAACTTTTAGACCAGGAGGTATTTGCTTTTCAGGAAGAATTTCGAGAGACGTCGCCATGGTTTGGTGACATTTTCATAAACGGCAGTGTGTTGTTTTAGAAAATGAAGGTGGGCCTGAGCTGCCGCTAGATGGCACCCCGCCTCTCCTCTTGGGGCTTTGCTGCGGTGGAGATGCCCTGTGCCTGCTTGCTCAGCACTCTTGGAGTTGTCCCTGGCCCCCTAACCCCTCTTGTACACTCTCAGCTCCTGCCTCTGGCAAGGGGCCAAGCCACTGCCTGAGTGGCAGGAGGATGTCCACTCTGTTCTGCCCTTGGTTGGTGTCATAAGGTGAGAAAACCTCTCCTTTTTCTTAAAAGCCACAAAGAAAAAGCAAGATGGGGAACAGGCTTTGTCTGTGCCCCAAAGCACAGGCTGAGCCCTTGCCTGGGACCTGTAGCAGCTCCATATGGTTCCAGGTGGAGCATAACCTAGGTATGACCTGGTTTGTGTCCTTGAAAGGACCCTCTGCCCTACACCCAGAGCCTGTGGGGGGTATGAGGTGGTGCTGTGGCCCGCAAGCAGGCCAGATCTGTCCAGGCCAGTGAGGGGGCAAATTGGGGGCATTGAGAAGTAGGGGCCACCTGGTGAGTCAGGCATGAGATGAGGTATATCACCATTAAGAGCATATCAGAGGTGAGGGAAATGCAGCTGTCAGGGACTAGGCAGGTGCTGGTACCTCCTGGAGCAAGGCTTTCTCTAGGACATAATCCTTGTGGTCGCCTTGCACACTGGACCATCCCTGCCTCTCACCTACAACTCTTGTGTACCACCTGGCTTTAGAACAGTACCACCCCCCTCTTACCCTCCCTAGGATCCTGAGAGCACTTAGGGAAGGTAGCTATAGGGTTGGAGCTAAAACAGAGGCTGCTCTTGCCTGGAAGTTCTGGGAGGCCCTGTGACCTTAAGGCTGGCACAGGTGTGCTCTCGTTGTGGTGTGGGGGTTCCTGCCCCCCCCCAGTCTTCTCACTGACTGACTCAGCTCCCTCCCCAGGATGCAGTTGGCACCTAGGTCATGTAGGGCAGGTGTGGTCCAGGTGACCTCATAGCAAGCTGTGGGATATCATGAGTCTAGACCATGAGGGCCTTTGGTTCCACCCTGTGTGCCCTATACCAGAGGGTCCTGGTGTGGAGTGGTCTGTCTCAGGCCTCCCCCTGGCTATGCTCTCTCCTGGGGCTCATGGACCACAGAAGTGAAGTGGCGACCACGACCTCTTGGCCTGACCTCTAACGGCCTGCAGAGTGGGTGGGGCTCTGCCAGGCTGGCTGAGGCTGCACCCACTTCTGTCTCTTTAATCACACTGCTTTGCTTGTGTCTGCAGCCACTTAATTGCAACCATTTTGGAGGATTTCAGTAGCATTTTTTTTTTAAGTGTCGACGTACTCAGGTTTATAGTGTTTTATTAAGCTTTTCTGGGTCTGTTGCTACTTTGGTAGTGTGATTTGTGTGTCAAAGTGATGTGAACAGCCTGGTGTCAATAAAAGACAGAAACGTGTGTGCTTCAAAAGGTTGGCATTATGTGCTGCTCTCAGGCAGTCAGGCTAAGAATATCTGCAGTGTCTGAGTGCCTCTCAGTCCCTTTTGCTATGGAGATTTAAGAGAGACCCAGCACTAGCTGTAGCTCACCCCAATCTTCCCCACCTTCTTGCTATCTAGGCACT